TTACCATTTGGTCAAACGGTTTGACCTTGGCCTTTCCATTGGGAAGAGAAAGCTTTTCTGGACTTCCAATGTCGCCATTGTCAATGTCCATGGAAATTTGGGAAGCGGATCTTCCAATCAAGTTTGCTTTACCAGTGCGCCAAATCATTGTTGATTCAACACCAGTTAGCAAATAAGTAAGATCAATAAGGGTCACTTCGTGATTTGTCACATAGTAGTCTTTAACAAACTCACTATATTACTTAGGAAGTGATTGAAGAACCAAGTCAACAGCCAACTTCCTCGGCAAAATGACACCCAACATTCCTAGCCTGTCAATGTGTGACTTCATCTCCAAGACATGTGCACACACATACCTTCCATCTTGGTGTTTGCTTGCCAATAGGGTTTGAGTGACCTTGAACTTTTCAAGTCGACGAACATGTGGGTCAGGGACAATTTTTGGAGGGGGTGGAGGAAGTGAAGTATGATTTTGTGGAATATCATCTTCATGTGGAAAGCTTTTTCCAACAAGATAAGGCAGACCATAGTTGACTGACCTAGACATCTATAAGGGGAGAAATTCAAGTTAGTTGATTTATGTCCTTAATATAACACCCAAAATGAAATATTAAGGCTAGGACCCAACACAATATTCTACAATTCGGAAGAGGGATGCCGTAATCCAATTGTAAAATATTTGAAGGTAGGTAAATGACGATTTACCAATTTCTACCATGAAAAACGAAAAAAAAGCATTAGGTTTTAAATGAATTGAAATTCCTGGATTCTTTGAGATTCATTGAACTTTTTCAATGACATGTTTAATCTCGATTATGCCCTTCAAGTTTGTGACTGGGATACCGAGGATCACAAACAAGGTGTGAATAACCATGCAAATTAGCTTGGTACTCTCGAAGTCAATTATCAACTAATCAATGTGTCGGTTAACCACACACGCTCCATTGATCTATGACAAACTACGAGCTACCAATTTCCATCCTTCATTAGTCCCATATTAGTGTGCCGGTTAACCACACACGCTCCACTAACGACTAATAAGGTGCAATGTGCAATTTCATGGGTTAGCATCAAATTAACATTTTTCCTAAGTAACTAAGATTTGGGAATTTATAGAAGGTTTAGTTACTTTATATTTCATTATACTTTTAATGAGGATTTAAATGTCCTGTCAAACCCGTTCGGCTAACGACCCTCCACTAGTCAAGAGTGCGGTGGGTAAGAGTGGATACCCATTCAATCGCCATTTTATAGGCAATTTCCTTAAACACCCCTTATAGACTAGCTTCGTGAATGAGGCCTACTAACGGTAAGACTGACCTTTTACTTATACATATATAATATATTAAACTTTTAATGTCATATAGGATAAGGGTGTATTTTACACATTTAAAATACTTGGTGGTTTAATCTATTAATAAATTATACTCTTAGTTTAATTAACTTTAAACCATATCCTTATGGAATCATTAATTCTCTTTTAATTAAACACTTTAATCAATTTAATAAAGTCAATAAGGTGCAATTGAACTATTCAAAAAACATCAAGGTTCTAAATATAAAAACTCAAAATTAAAAACTATTTAATTAATTTTTTAAGTTATAAACCCAAGAGTTGCACCTTTTGAAACCTTTCAGTTACTAGATGTTTTAGAATTCAATGTTTCAAATTAAAACTTTTTAATTAAACTTTTCAAATTCCAAAACTTGAGGGCAAGTTTTTTGAAACTCTTCAAAACTTTTGGATTCCATAACTTGTGGAGTTAATGAATGAGACTTTCCAAGTTCCATAACTTTAGGACAAATTATGAAACTCTTCAAGACCTTTGCAATTCCATAACTTAAAGAGTTTAAAGTTTCATGAATGAGACTTTTCATATTTCAAAACTTGAGGACAAGTTATGAATCTCTTCATGAAACACTTAGATCAAAATATAAAACTAATACAATTATCATATAACTTATCATTTACCAATTTAACCTAATTTAACTCTTATTGCAAGACAATTCTAATCAAACAATACAAATAATCAAATTATCATATAATCAAAACATTATCTTAAAATTTGATAATTGTCTTTTTTAATTTTGGATGATGGAAATCATTACCTTATCACAAAAACAATTTTTTAATAGTCAAAACAGTTTGTGGTAATGATTTTAATCCAAAACTTGGCCAAAAAAACTGAAAAAAACGCCCACTGAACAGTTACCACGTCGTGGTAACTTTGACCAGGTCATGGTGATCATGCAGATTCCAAAAAACGATTTTTTATTGCTTTGAACAATTAACCAATGCATCAATATAACAGAAAACACCCATGACTCTGATACCACTGTTGGGTTTTAAGTACTATAACACTCCTATGGTGCACATACAACCCTAATACTTTGGATCTAAGTTTTCTCTAGTTATACATGCAACAAAAATTATCCAAAGCATGAAACCTATCTAGCATACAAATATGGTACATAAATCATAAAACTAGTTAGAAGAATACCTCTTATTTGTAGCTTGTAGTTGTTGGCCTTTCAAGAGCTTAGCACCTCAAGTGTGATGCCTCAAACAAGTCACAAACACCATGAACAAATGAAGGACTTTGAGAGAGAGGCTAGAACCACCAAAATCGGCTAGGGTTCTCTTAGAACCCTTGGGGTGGTCAATTTGGAGCTAAGGGGTTACTTTTATAGTGTGAAATTCCTAGGGTTTCAACTTGTAAACTCTAATTCATTTCTTGGGCCTTTAATCCAATAATCCATATGATAAGCCTTATCGACTAACACTTCATGGACTCTCTTATAAACTTAGTCCATCACTAATCAATCATGGCTCATTGGCCCATACTATATGTATTACTGATTTACTTTAATTAGTTCCCTTAATTTAATTAATCTCTTTTGATCACTAAATTAATTCCAAATTAAATCTTGACCAATATTAATTAAATAATATGATTTCTCAATATATTATACTTATAATATATTAATAAATCATAAATAACCTCTTTCTCAAATATCCATCCTGTCAAATTGTTCTGGTGAAGGCAACCCGAAATGGACCATGCTACTCTCGAGTCAAGTACATACCAATTATAGTTATGGGCTTAGACACCTAATCCAACAATAAGACGTTGGTGTTCATCATTCGGAAAAGACGTCGATGTTCATCAAAATCGCCTTCCACCCCATTACCGGAGATGTCGCCAGAACCTTAAAGCTGACACCGCAGCCGCCATCATTTGGGATTAATCAATCGCATGAAGTAACTATGGTGTTCATCACTCTCCTCCTTATTGATTTCTGAATATCAGATCGATGGTCCTATATCCCGACCGATTCAACAAGGATGATGTTGTAGGTTTCACAATACCCCTGATCTCTTTCTTGCCCTGCAACGGTGTTTCCTTGATCAACTTCATGGTTCAACCTTCAAAGTATATAGGTCTGAACCTTCATCATTTGGGTTTCAAAATTATAATCGATTCAACAAGCCTATTCTTGTTTTAATCGTGTAAATCAATGTGGGATTTGAAGTCAGGTGGTAGATTCTTTTTAATTTCAGTTATCATGCTTAGATTTGAGTTAGAATTTGAGTTGCGGGTTAGATTTTAAGTTTAAGGTCTTTGTTTTGATTTGAGGTTAGAATTAGATTTCAGCAATGGTGGTGGATGTGGTGATTGGTTGTTGTTGGCGGAGGTGAACTGTGGTGTTTGCTGGAAGTGAACAGTAGTCATGTTCAGAGGTAAATGGAGGTGTTACCGGATGTAGTTGAAAGGAGGTTGTCGGAGGAGGTGAACGATGTAGGGGATGAGGATAATGGGTAATGGTGGAACCACATATTCATCAATTCATTTATTTTAATTAACAAATAGATAATAAATAATAAAAAAATGAAAAAGAAAAAACAAAGGGTAATATAGTCTTTTTAAATGTGTCAGGGACGGAAAACACAACAAAACCATATTATAAGGACAGTCCGAATGCAAAAAAAAGGATCAAACTCCTAATTTTTATCAAACATAGGGACGATTTTAGTAATTTATTCATTTATAAATTATAATGTTATATTAGTATTTATGTTTAAAAAAATGCAATCATAATTCTTATCCTTTTTCTTAGTACCGACAATATTAGCAACTCTCCAAAATCACTTTGAAATTAAACATTTTTAACGTTATTTGAACAATTTATATGTATTTATGAATTATGATTATGTTTTTGTCATACTTTGAATCTTTCTTTACATTTGGAACTAATTTAAGTGGTGTAATCTTTAGTTAATTTTTTGTTATTTTAAATGGGTTAACCCAAGTTTAACCAATTTATGTAGTAGGTTGAGTCGGGAACTACATAAACATATCAACCTTGTGACAACCCATTTATCGAAAAGGTTGGGTTGGGTTGAAAATATCAACCCATTTAAATAAACATGTTGGGTTGGGTTGAAAACTTTAATCCAATCAATAAATGGGTTGAACCTGAACTCAACCTAAGTCAATTCATTGTCAGCTCTAATGAAAGGGAACTGATTCGTACACAACATTTTTTTTCCATACACAACAACTTGTGTTTTATAGTGTTGTATTGTACAACTCTATAATGCATAAATTGTTGTGTATGACAAAAAATTGTTGTGTACGAATCACTTCCCCTAATGAAAGCGTAGAATATTCTACCATCGTTAACACTTATTTATAGAATTTAACAACCAAACCGTTATAAATAATAATGTTAATTTATGGAATGGGGCACTTTCCCTAACGTGTAAAATATTCTATTTTAGGTATTTCTTTAGTTGTCCAGTTAATGTGTTTGACATTCTTCCTCTTCATTAATGTACCAACTCTCATGTGCTGTGATTTTATCTATTAAATTTTTTATTTAGGCGCATCAAGCAACTATATAAACCATGCAATTCATTGACATATAACCATAACTATCTATCTCCAAAAATAAAATAAATATTTTTTCATCTCATATCATAAGGTCGTAAAAATCAAATGGCTACAAGAAACGGAATGATGGGGTTTCTGGGTGGAGCTGTTTCACAATCCCTGCAACAAGACGGTGTGGTGAGGCTGAAAATCTTAGTTAAAAGACAACAACTGGAGCAAGTTCTTGGACAAGTTGTGAAGAAACATGACAACAATGAGAGGTGTCATGTTATCCGACCAATATCATCAGCATCAAAATGGATACAACAATGGTTGAAGGATATGAAAAGAATACAAATTCTAAGAAGCCAACAAGTGAAAAGAGATTTTCGGACTTACTGGAGACCTATCCTTCAAAGTATCCCGGAATCCAGAGTCTTAGTTATTTGAATTTTTTGGAAAGACAAAATTTAATTGTAAGGTTCTCCCTTTAACCTTTTTGTATGACGATTATTACATTACATGCAGTTTCTTGGAATAATTAATTTGTATAAGATAGTTATATCTTATAAAACTTTGTTAGATAGTATGTAACAGATTTTGTATAAAAATATGATACTGGTAGAAATTATTGAATTTTTTTTCCATGGTTACCTCTTTCTTGTGCTAATTATTATCTAGTAATTCCGAATCGTTTAATATATAGAACTTATTTATAATTTGAATAAGATGTGTTTCATATGTTTTGAAGCCATAAATTTCAAAAAAAAAAAAAAAAAAGCACTACAAGAATAATGGGCATTAGCGGCGACAGCCACCTTTAGCAGCGACACGTAAGTTTCGCGTTATGTATCGTCGCTAAAGGTGGCTATCGCCGCTAAAAGCGTCGCCGCTAATGTCTATCGACCCCGATCCACGTCGAAATATAAGGTGAAACCTTATCCGTTGATTTTGTCCCTAACCCAAGGACTGAAAATCGATAACGTACATACCAATAGCGGCGACGACGTCGCCGCTAATACTCGAAAATTTTGACCGCCAAAGTTTCCCTCCAAAAGTTGTCGTTGATAATACTCAAAAATTTTGACCATCAAAATTCCCCCCTAAAGGTGTCGCCGCTAAAAGCCGTCGCCGCTAATTCTCTTCGCAGATATAACCCCCCTTCAGCTCATTCTTCCCTCTTCTGTGAACTCATTTCTCTTTGTCACCACTCCGGCAACAAGTCATTATTTTCTGTTTTTATTATTCTTTATCTTCCCCCCCCCCCCCCAACAAGTGACATACTCATTGGTGGTGTTGGATTGTTTTAGTCCCTTGCCGGAAATGTTGAAGATCTACCGGAATTCGTTGTTGTCTGCCGGAAATTGGCCGGAAAATTGGACTACTGCCGGAATACCGCCACCAGTCCACCTCCACGCTTCTCCGCCGGATTATACACCACCACATGTTCTATATATGTTTATTTTAATTTTTTGTATGTAGAATGTGTATTTTGTATATGTATGTGTATTTGTATGTATATAATGTATGTATATATATGTGTGTATTATGTATGTATTTGTGTGTTAGTATGTGTATCATGTATGTATATGTGTTTTTGTATATGTATTATATATGTATATATGTGTTTTTGTATGTGTATTATGTATGTATTTGTGTATGTGTTTTTAGTTATATGTTTTTATAACGTTTTTATATTTTTATAACAGTTTTTATAATTTTATAATGTTTGTTTTGTATATGTAAAGAATGCTTTAAAAAACTAAAAAAAAGAGAAAACTACAATTAGCGGCGACACTTTTAGTGGCGACGAGTAGTATTAGTGGCGACAAGGCATTAGTGGCGACAGTAAGCATTAATGGCGACAATTGGGGTATTAGCGACGAGCGAACAACGGCGACATTCGGCACCTTTAGCGGCGACGCCCGTCACCACTAATGGTCATTATTCTTGTAGTGAAGATCAGCTGTTCCAAAAAAATTGTGTTTCATGTGTTGGTGTCCACTTTGGTCCCGTCTAATGGAACACAGGTAGGTCAATCCTACCGCGTGTTGTGTAGGTAGGGCTGTAAATGAACTGAACATTCAACGAACTGTTCGTTAACTGTTCGGCGGGAAGTTCGTTTATATTCGTTTATTTAATAAATGAACGAACATGAACACAAATTTTCGTTCGTTTAATTAAACGAACGAACATGAACAATGACCCCGTTCGTTCAATTATGTTTGTGAACGTTCGTTTATATAAGTTTCTTTTATGTTCATATATGTTTAGTTGTGTTTGATTACATTACTATATTATATGCTCATTTATGCTTGTATATATTCAATTATGTTTGTTTATCTTTGTTCATTTATGTTCGTTTATCATGTTCACGAACATAAACGAACGAACACGAACAATGGAATTTGTTAAACGAACGAACATGAACAAGAAAACTCGGTCGTTTATCCGTTCGTGTTCGTTCATTTGTTCAGCTAACTTAAATGAACGAACACGAACAAGTCCACATTCTTGTTCGTTCGGTTCGTTTACAGCCCTATGTGTAGGTGTTTAATTACATTGGTTAATTAAGAATTATATGTTATTTAAATAAGTTAGCGTTTGTTCGGTAGGTTATTGGATAAATTTTGAAATCTTTATCTAGTAAGACTAGTTGTAAGGAGGGATGGTCCAAAATTATTTCAATAGGAAAAATTAAACATATCTTAAAGAGGGATGGAGGGGGTAGGTGTAAAGGGGTGTCGAACGGGTAAAATTTTCGGGTTTCGGATAGAACGGGTATTTCCTTAAGAAAATAATACCCGATACCCGACCTATATTGTAATTCGGGTTTTTGGGTTTCGGGTATTCGGGTTTGAGGTCGGGTCGGGTAATTATCGGGTATACCCGAAAATTTCTTAAATGACACTTATTGATAATTTTTTTTTTTTTTTTTTTTTTACATGTTGGTTGGTTTAATAAAGAATCGGGTAGGAAAATACTCTATACAATTAACAAGTACATATATAATAACAATACAAATCATTATAATATGTTATGTACATTTTTAATTTCATTCCGTGCGATAGTGAGAAACTGAGAATTGTGATGACGGTTCAGGACTTCAGCTTCAACGTCGTATTCCCTTTGCAAGTTTGCGTCGACTGTCGAGCCGTCGTCCATAAGAAGGAAACGAATGGTTTTGTTTTATTTGAAGTGTGCGTACGTGACTGCATTGTATATTTGGTATTATTTAAAAAACGAATTCGGGTATTCGGGTATACCCGAAAGTAAATATTCATACCTAAAACCTGACCTATATTATTATCGGGTTAATCTATTACCCGAATGTTCATACCCGTTACCCGTTCTACCCGACTCATTCTACCCGAATTCGGAACGGGTCGAGTGGGTATAACGAGTTTCGGGTTTTTTCGACAGGCCTAGGTGTAAGTGTAGTGAGTTTTCTTCTTTGTGTTTGAGAATAAATCACATGTAGCAAAAGGTGTTGCTTTCTTTAAGTATTAATCTTCACCACGACTATGGATTGTATTTTGGTATTGCGTTAAAAGTTCTTATTCATTTCTAGGGGTAATATGTTTTATGTTTTTTTCTATATTGGTGGTCATCATACTTGGGCATATGTTACCCATAGGTATGCCGTGAATAAATCTTACACGATGTTTTCTAATTGATTTTAACCATGGATTGATCGACAACATTTTGGGATCAATATTATTATAGTTTATAGATCAAGTTTATTGCTTGGAATTTTCGTTTTCAATGATTTTATAATTTGTCTTTTGTTACTCAATTAAAATATGTTATCATCTTTATTTATATTAACAATGCAACTATTTTATTTCTGTAATATTATGTATGAATTAGTTATAAAAAAAATATGTAAGTATATAGTGGAAAGAAATTTACATAGTTATGTTTAAACATAACTAAAATGCCCTTACGCATAATTTACATGGGTTAAGTTAGACATAAATCTCGTTAAATAATTATTGGTAGTGTTTTGATAAAATAAAAAAAATTACATATTTACTTAAATAAAGTTGTTTATGAAAAGTAATTAATGTTATTTTTATTGGAAACTTTGTTTTTATAAACTAAAGAAAATAAATAGTATATGAAAATACTTAGTGATTTATTAGGGTTTATTCGTTTATTCATATTAATATTTTATGAAGTATTAATCGAAGAATATGAAATTTTGCATTGAATCAATTTTTTTTATGAAAAATCATTTTCAAACATTAAGGATTTTTATAAAAGATCATTTTCAAATACTAAGGAGTACACATTGAATATTTATTTTTGGAGGTTTGGCAATTTACCATTGAATTCATATATTTGAATTTAGGATTGAGTTTTCATATATTTCTAAGTATTATGTCGAATTCTTTTGTTGGACCTGTTACTATTGTACTTAAAAGCTATTAAAAGTTAATAATGTTTTGTTGAATGTATTATATAGAATAGAAATATGTCTAGACATAAAGTTTCATATTGTTTGTATTTATCATTAAATGAGAAATTAACAATCATTATTAGAAAAAATTTATAAGGCTATGAGTTTCAAATGAATGTTTTTCAAATACAAAGACCTTTGTTATAATATATAGATAGGACAACAAATGCGACTGCAAAAACCAATAAGATTGTTGATGACCTTGTAAAATAATATTGGCAGTCCGTGTAGCATCCAAAATTCAGAGTTATACGTTTTGACTTTAACTATAATTTTACATTTTTGTACTTCAATGGTTATCTAATTCTAAAGCCAATGTTGGTAGATAAAGGAAAATTATGATTCAAGATGAAAACTTTCCAAGTCGAAAATAAAGTATTTTTGAAATTAAAGTACATTGCTACTTTTGTACTTGAACATTAACTGTTATATTAATGGAATATCGGTAAATAGTGATATTATCGATTATTTTGTGACTTAATATCTGACTGGAAATTACTTGAATTAAATAAGTAATGACGCTTAATTGGAGAGAAATAAGAGTATAGAAACATGAGAAAACTCTCACTAGAAAGTGTTCGGTATGCAGTAATTGAATAAGGATTAAAATGAAATGTTGTAGAAGAATAAAAAAAATCTTATATGTCTGCTAGAGGAATATAATGGAGCCTTCATTACGAAAGGTGGTTCACTATTTGATGTTGATTTTCCTTCTCCGGGATACTGTCATGCATTGATTCATTATCAGATCTGATATAAAACTTATAAGGGGGCGCATATTATTATAGATGAGATTTGTTCCTTTAATTGTTTTATTGTGATATCCGTGAGGGCCCTCGATAGAAGTGGATAGATGTAAGTGTACAGCCATACCCATACGACATTGACATGATAATCAAATAAGTCTATTATCTTAATTGGCTTTAAAAATCAAGAAACTAACATTGAATTTATATTAGAATGATTTGATATATGTCTCATGTTTAATGATAGCGAACCAAAGGGTGTTGAAACGACAATGCATTTAACATTAAATACTTATTTGAAGTTTTGAAGAGACAAACACTCATATATTGTTAGGGGTGGTGATATGTTGCTAGACGTTTAACATTGTCGATACTATGTATCATTAATTGGTTATGTCATTTGCATAAGTGAAAGTCTGATTGATATAGTATGCAAAATACAAACAAATTTATTGTTACTTATATGTGATACTATATGGTCACATACAAAAAGCTATAAAAAGATCTGAAAATAAATAATATATTTATATGTAATAAATAAATAAATATTTATTTATTATTTATTAAAATAAATCAAAAAATTTATTTATTAATTGAATAAAAAGGGTTTGTTTAATAAAACCAACAAAATTATTATAAATATCAGTTAAATGAGTTTAGACTTACTTCATAAGTGGATTTTGGGAATGGGTGCATCTTATCAGCATTAACTTGTCGTTATCTCAATTAATGTCGATTCACCCACACTTCTACTCCTTGTAGAGGAAGGCTAACTGCTTGATGAATGGGAGTTGTACGAGTGGTAATACTTTGAACGATTTTCCATAAAGTTCACCAATTAATGCAATGTTTAAGAATGACAACTTAAGATTTTTGGTAAGTATAAATAAGAAATGCTAATGTGCCTCCATTTCTCTTCCTCCATATACCAACGAATCATTATCGTGTTTTGGTTCTTGTAGACCCATCTAAAGATAAGGTAGAACAAGATTGATGACATGTTTTATAGTTGATGTCTAGCAATATTTCATATCAGCTCATATGAATATCAATAGTGGTAATGAATTGTGCGTATCATTACCTACATCAAATGATCCTCACATTACAAATTTCGATCCTCAAATATATTGTGGTTGTTTATTCATATTAATTAATGTTTCTTTAACTGTAAACCAACTTTTGGGATTGTTAAAATCTAAAACGATATATTTTGTTGTGTAATTAAATATTTATATTATTTATAAATCGATTAAATCCTAACACAAGCCGTTGATCGGTATCCTATCAATCCCCTTATACCCGATCGATTTGCACTCTATTTATTCCCACCACCCTTGTGAACATAAATATTATTTGTGGCATTATATAGTGGACAAAACATATAAAATCGTCTATATTAGGGTCGTCAACGATATGGACAACAATACAAACCTGTAGTTATTTGAAAGATAATTTGATATGATTATATGCTAAAAATAACTTTATTGTCATTAGTTTATGGAATAATGACTTAAAAGGGTAATATATTTTTCGATTTGTACACATTTGATCACTGAGTTTTTTTTCGTCCACATTTACCCTTTCAACTTGTTCAACTGTAAACATTTAGTCATTATGACCGACTACTCCACGTTAGCCAGAAAAAATGACTTAATAGGGTAATATATTTCTCATTTTGTATACATTTACTCATTAATATATTTTTTCACATTTAGTCCTTAATATTTTTTTGTTGCAAAATAAGTCCTTGTTGTTTTTCTATGCATTCAGTATTTATAACTGATTTCTTTAGGTTTTCCTCAGGATATCTTAGGTAGGACAATCATTAATGAGGTATTTGGAGTTGTTGATTCTTATGTCCATCATAGCCTCGACTGCTTAGTTGCTTAGGTATTGTGGTTTGGCTTAGTTTTTGTGTTCTGAACGTCGTAACTTCTTCATATGATCTTGGATTTTAACGATCTTTATATACATGTGTTTTTATTTGAGTCTACTATAACTTTCGTTTAGATTATTCCATTAAAAAGTAATATATTTTTATTTACGATCTTTATATCCATATTTTTTTTATGAATGTATTTATGAATGTTTTTTTAAATCGTAAGTAAAAATATATTATATTTTAATGGGAGTAATCTTTACAAAAGTTATAGTAGACTGAAAAACAAACACGTTGATATAAAGATCGTTAAAATTCTAGATCGTACGAAGAAATTATGACGTTCAGAACACAATGCCTAAGCCAACCCACAACACCTAAGCAACCAAACAGTCGATGCCGCGATGAACATTACAATCAACAACCCCAAACACCTCATTAATGATTGTCTCACATAAGATGTCTAGAGAAAAACTTAAAGAAAATCAGTCATAAGTACTGAATGAATACAAAAATAACAAAGACTTATTTTTCAACAAAAAATATATTAAGGACTAAATGTGCAAAAAAATATTGAGACTAAATATGTACCAAGTGAAAAATATATTACCCTATTAAGTTATTTTTCTCGGCTAACTTGAAATAGTTGGTCATAAGGATTAAATATGTACAGTTTAATAAGTTGAAGGGGTAAATATATACGAAAAAAACTCAGTAACACAATGTGTACAAATCAAAAAATATATTACGTTTGTAAGTCATTATCCATTATTTTTTTTCAAACTATAACCAAGTTGTTCCGGATTACACATTGAAAAAATGACTAATCGCAAATACTACTAAGCGGTTATGCGTCTCTCACACTCCTTCACGACAAAAAAAAAAAAAAAGTTTTAAATATCTCTTTTTGTGAATTCATTTCTGATAGAAAATATTTGAATTGACCGGATTAAATGGAATTGTGATTTGGTTTCAATAAAACTTAGAATATATAAGAAAAAAACTTCTCATTTCATAAAAAATAGATCTATAGAGGTGTATGCGAAATTTTAATGGGAAAAAAACTCGAATTTATTATTCAAAATAATGTTTTTGCAAAATTATTGAATTTCGTGAAATATGTACAAAATTACTTTTTTTCTTTTCGAAAAAAGAATTGCAAAATAAAGTTATTTTGGATATGTTTCGTGTAAAATGTTGTCATTCTTTTATCAACATATGGTAAGTTATTATTACCAATGTTTTTTTGGTAATCTTTTTATTAGCCCTTTAGAAGTTAAAGGATTTTTAATGACGATTTTAGAGTTTGGTGGCAAATTGGAAGTAAACATAAACAACTTTGGAATATATATGTTCCTTCTTCATTCCCGCCAGAACTATACACCTCGAGACCCCAATGATTCTCTGAGAAGCTTAAAATCAGTCTTGGATTTCAAAACTTGAAAGATGACAACGATTTTGTCACTTAATTCATCTTTCAAGTTCGCTGTAAATGAAAATAAAACACGAAGAGGACCCAAAAGAGCTTCAGAATTCATCAACCAATACGACCCGATTAAGCAGAAAATTTCCAATTCTGTTAGAAGTAAGTCTTCAGTCATGAAAACAAGTTCGTCACGTCAGATGGAAAATTTAGTTTCCTACGTGGAAGATGGGTCTGTTGAAAATGCACTCCAACTGTTCGATGAAATGAACAAAAGAAGCACCTTTTTGTGGAATATTGCAATCAGGGCGTTAACGAGTAATGGATATTTTGAAGAAGCTCTTGATTTGTATCATCAGATGCGTACCGAAGGTGTTCAACCTGATAAATTCACGTTTCCCTTCGTTATAAAAGCATGCGGTGGGTGTTTGGATCTTGTTACTGGGAAGAAGGTTCATTCAAACCTGTTCAAATTCGGGTTAATTTCAGATTTGCATGTGTCTAATTCTCTCATACTAATGTACGCCAAGGTTGGACATATTGGGTCTGCAGAGAAGGTGTTCGATGAAATGCCTGTGAGAGATTTGGTTTCATGGAACTCAATGATCAACGCGTATCTCTTCGTTAACAATGGATTAACCTCACTCACATGTTTTTCGAGAATGCAACAATCCGGAATCAAACCTGATCGATTCACAATCGTGAGTGCTCTCCACGCCTCTTCACTCATCCATTCTTTACCCAACGGGAAACAAATCCACGCGATAATAATCAAAACCAAATCCGAATCCAACGAAATGATTCAAACATCGCTAATCGACATGTACGTGAAATGCAACGCAATCAATTACGCCGAGAGATTCTTCAACTTGATTTCTCCACGACACGTTGCAGCTTGGAATGCAATGATTCGTGGCTACAATCTCAACAATAAGCCCCTGGAATCATTTTCTTGCTTGAAAAAAATGCAAGAAAATCGCATCAATCCCGACGTTATCTCACTGATAAACTTCCTTCCATCTTGTTCGCAGCTTCAATCCATGTTCTCCGGGAAAACCATCCATGGATACGCAATCCGAATCGGGTTTCTTCCCCACTTTGTTCTAGAAACCGCTTTAATCGATTTGTACGGGAAATGCGGGAATCCAAGATTATCGGAAATCATTTTTGATCGCATGGATCAAAGAAATTTAATCTCTCGTAACACTATGATCGATGCCCTAGTGAAAAACGGCCGATATCAACACGCACTGAAGATCTTCCGAGATATCTGGGATCACGATTTGAAACCAGATCCTACAACGATTACCATGATACTCGATATCATTTCCGATATAGCGGGCCTCCAAGAAGGGAAACGGATTCACGGGTATGTCGTTATATCAGGATTTTATTCGAATACTTTTGTCCTAAATTCACTTGTATACATGTACGCAAAATGTGGCGATCTTGATTCGGGTCGGGTTCTTTTTGACCGGATTTTAACCAAAGATATTGTTTCTTGGAATACGATCATTTTGGCAAATGGGTTTCACGGATTCGGTGAAATTTCAGTTAATTTGTTCTTGGAGATGATAAAAAAGGGCATAAAACCGAATTCGAGCACTTTCTTTTCGGTTTTATCTGCTTGTAGTTTTTCGGGAATGGTGGAAGAAGGATGGAAGTTTTTCATCTCGATGAAATCCGATTACGGGATTGATCCGGGTATCGAGCATTACGGGTGTATCCTCGATCTTCTTGCTCGAATTGGCGACCTTGATCGAGCCAAACGTGTAATTACCGAAATGCCCCTGGAACCGACTTCTCGGATATGGGGATCTTTGCTCGGTGCAAGCCGGAAACACCGGGATCTTGAGCTTGCGGAATTTGTCGCTAATCGTGTCTTGTCTTGTGAACACGATAACACGGATCACACGGGGTTGTACGTTTTGCTTTCGAACTTGTACGCTGAGATGGGGAGATGGGAGGATGTTAGACGGGTCAAATCTTTGATGGAAAGTCAACGCTTGAGGAAAACCGATGGGTTGACCTTTGTGGAAGTCAAAGGTGAAACCTTTAGGTTTATGAATGGAGATAGATCACATAAAGATAGTAATTTGATTTATAAGGTTTTAGATGTGATATTAGAGAATCGTTATGGGGATTTGTGTAAGTTTAAGCCGGTTGACTTTTTGCAAAGAATGTCAAAGTCAACGGATTGGCATAGTGTGAGACTCGCAGTTTGTTTTGGTTTGATCTCAACTGCGATCGGGAAACCGGTTCTTGTTAGGAAAAACGTTAGGATTTGTGAAGATTGTCATTGTGTCATGAAAAAGATTTCTTTGACTTGTCAGAGAGAAATTGTGGTGGGAGATTCGAAGATTTTTCACCATTTTAGACACGGACGATGCTCGTGCCATGATTATTGGTGAATCATGTTTGTTACAATCCGAGATCCAATATTAGCAGACATAGGAGAAAAGTTTTTTAGGGATACTTTCGATGATGCATATAAGAGGGATTTCACATCTTTTGTAGATATGAGAGATCTAAATTTAGTGTTTGTCCCTTTTTTTTTTTTTTTTTTGATGTAATGAAAAGTTGTAAGTTTTGTCTAACTGGAAAAAAAAGGTTTCCGGTGTAAATCTAATTTGTGTTGTATTGTTGTATTGAAAATGCATCAAAAATCCAAATTTAGAATATTTGACCTGTTTTTTGGCTTGGTATTAATCCTTATAGAAAACCCGGATTTATGACAGTTTTTTGACTGTTGTCAAACTGTTTTATGACAGTTTTCAGACAAATGAGGTATTTAACCAATTTTGGTCAGTTTTTCTGGTACTTATGAAATTCATATATATCATTCGCTGTTTTTTTCTCTTCTGAGTTTTATCCAATCAAAGATTAGGGAGTACCACCCAATACTTTGATTTGATAGTGAAATCACAATTCTCAGAATATCTAAGTGCATTTATTACCCTGAATTTCTAACAATTTGCATGTCAAAATGAATATAAGGTTGTTATTTTTTATTTGTTTGTTAACAATCTTTTGATAGTTTTTAAAAACATTTAGGAGCTTGAGCTTCTTTAAGAAATAAAAATAAATAAATAAATAACTTTGTTTGAAAATATGAGTTAGATCTTTTAATTTAGAACAAAAAATTCTTAAAAAAACTATTGTAAATAGCGTTTAAAGAAAAATCGGTGCCTATTGTAACAAAATTACGAGGTTGCACATAAAGTTCATTTTACTTAATTTTTAACTTTTGAAAAGCTTGCATATATTTTCGTCACACTTCTACACTAATAAAAGTATTACTACCATCTCCAAATAAAACCTATGGCTTTTATATATTTCAGTTTAGGTATCGGTTATTTTTGTAAAACATACCCTTAAAATTCAGGTGTTAAGTTTTATTTTCTAAATTGCATTAAAATTGTGTTCCCAATTTCCCTTTGAAACTTTGAAAATGATAAAGAGATTTAGATTATATCATATGCCCATTTATCTAATTAAAACATTAAATGTTCTGAATCAATGTAACTAGTTAATGGATTCGATTGGAAATGAGTTTGCACAAGCTTAAAGCTTGACAAAGTAATAACTTGATTCGAGTGCTCAATAAGTCTTATTGATACACACTCGAGCTTTTGTTTAACATAATTGACAACATCCAAATCAGAGTTTTTCCAATTTACCCTTGAGTTTAAGAGAATCATTTTTAGTTCTTACGTGGAAAAAAATTGTTTTACCCTAATCATTTTTTTTCTTGATCCGCCACTGCGTAAGAGTTGCAATATCTTGAAAATATGCGTTCACTTTGTTTGATAAGTAGTTAAGTGGTTTAACTCGATCTCCGAAAACACAAACCAAAACTTGATTGAGAAACTCATAAGGACTCAAGTTGAGTTTTTATAAACTTGAACTCAATTATGTTTGGAGTCATATTTGTAGCTTGACCTTAATAAAAAAATTGTTGTGGTCGTGGATCGATAAGAATATGATTTATTCATTAAAAGTTTGATTTCTTTTCAACTTGTTTTTATAAATGGGCGGTAGAAAAATTATGTCTATTGGTCTATTCCTAAATGATCCAGTTAGGCCCGAATAGTATACGATTTTGGTTTAATAAGAATCGGACTTGAATTCTTCTTAGGCTTTTATAGTCCTTCACTCTTGAATCATACAATTGGGCCCAAGTACAAGTTTTATGTGTAAATTGGGTTTTTAAATGGGCGGTAGAAATATTATATCTACTGGACTATTCCTAAATGACCCAGTTAAGCCAGAATAGAAGCGATTTGGTTTAATAGGAATCGAATATGAAATCTTCTTGGCCTTTTATAGTCTTTTCAAATTGGGCCCAAATACGTGTAAATTGGGTTTAGGTGTAGAATAAAAATAGTTTAGATTGGCGTTATAAATAAATAAATAAATGGAAAACGTTAAATGTTGATGCATGTTAATGTTTAATGGTTAATAGCTGTTTTGATGTTAGTAAATAACGAATATGAAAATAAGTTGTACAAATTTAACCTATTTGCTGTCAATTATGACCAAATGTTAGGTTTTGGAGTCAATGATTAAAGAAAAATTTCCGTATGTCAATGTTATATATCAAAATATAATATTTATCGAATAAAAAAAATCAAAATATCATATTTGCCTTTAATAAACATCAAAATATCATATATATGTCAAAACTCTATTTTAAATTTATTTTTTATAATCTTTTTAAATTCTTGTATTTATCAATCTACTCTTATACCCTTTCATAAATTTTCAATTCAACTTCAAACGTCCATTTAAAAGAAAGTGTATTGAAGTGGTTTTTGAAACAAGGATGGTTCTTCTTTATTTGAGATCTTTATATTGATATCAACGATTTTGCTAAGGCTTTGGGTGTGAGGAAGTAAATTTTAAAGTGGGTTTCGAATTGAATTTATTATTGAATGAGGAGACTTTAACAAGTGATTGATTTTAAGAATTGATGTAGGAAAGATTGGACTCAGTCGACATGAGAAGGGCGGTTCTTCTTTGTTTGAGATCTTTGTATTGATATCAACGATTTTGTTAAGGTTTTGACTATGAGGAAGTAATTTTTAAAGTGGTTTTCGAATTGAATTTGTTATTCAATTAGAAGACGTTAACACGTGATCGATTTTAAAAATTGATTTAAGATAGATTGGACTCACTAGACATTTAGTTCATTACTTTTGAGTAGGATTTAACGATGCCAAAATTCAAAGCAAAAGAGTTGGATACCTAATTTTGATTACTCAACTGTTTTGAGATGCTTCACAAACATATTGAGCACTTTTTGTGTTTTCCCAAAACATCTTAGTCAATTTTTTTTAGATGAGATTTTGAAGTTAAATCAATCAATGAATATTGAGGAACTTATGAAAGGTATAATGGTCCATTACTAAAACTAAATATTTAAATTTATGGTAAAATGTTAAATTTTTTTTTTTTCAGTAAGTATGATAATTTGAAGTTTTTTAAGTGTAAATATTATATTTAGATTTATGTTAGGTAAATATGATATTTTAATTTTTAACAATGACAAATACCAAATTCTCACTATTTTTAAACTAGACAAAAGTGCGCATAAGCAACCATGTAGTTAAAGTCTCGCCAAATATATGTTATTTGTATTGATGACTCCTCCATATACTCATATAGGGTGAGGTTCAATAGAGAACCATAATTAACCAAGGAACCAATGAACCAATCTTTTTTTCAACTTTTAGAACTTATTTTTTATCAAAAAAAAAACTAAAAATACAGAAATTCATAACTTTTTATCCTTTTTCCAATGATATCAAATTCGATAAAAATTTTTTTTTTTTCGTCAAATTCACAATTTGAATTTTTGAAGATTCACAATGTGAATCTAAATTCAAATGGTGAATCCGAAAAATATATTTAACATTCACAATGTTAAGTTATGAATTTAGATATTTTTAATTATTTTTCGATAAAAAATAAATTCTAGAATTTAAAAAAAGATTTGGTTCCTTGGAGAACCAATAATTATGATTCTCTGTTGAAAATTTCCCTACTCATATATACCATTTGTGTGTTAAAATGGTCATTAGCTATGTATTGTTCTCATGTTTACACTATTGACATAATATATTCGATAGACTATTCATATCTGAAGAACTTTGTTGAATATAAATTATGCATACGTCATGAAAACAATCTCACCATGGCTTTCGGAGTTAGTTGTCAAGATCTAGACGTTCTATCGTACTCAACTTCATATCAAAAAAATTAAAAGATACTATAATAATATGTAATAAATGTTACATGTTAAATATATTTATAAAAGTAATTAGAATGGGAAACATGTATGACGCATCGTGGACTAGGGGCGGAGCTTCATTTTTTATTTAGGGCGGCCAGAAATATAATATGTATAAAAATCGATGAGCTGGGGCGGCCACAGCCAAAATTTTATATTTTTGGGCCTAATATGTATAAAATTAAAGTATAAAGACTAATTGTGATAAAAAAAGCAGGAGGAGCCACAACCCCCTAGCCCTAATAAAGATCCGCCCTTGTCGTGGACAATACGAAACATATTTTATAAAGTGGTTCAGTAGCCACTATATGTTAGACCTAGATGATTTAAACATACATGAAACTAAGAAAACAATAAAACTTTCAGAATTTAGGGTCTTAAGAATATCAATTTACTTGGATATTTCTAGGATCGAGATTGCAATCACTTTCTAAAATATGTGATTTCGACCGGATGTGCAAAAAACCGCACAAACCGCATAAACCGCCCACACCGCACCAAATCGCACCGCTTAATGCGGTTTAGAATTTCGCGGTATGGTTTGCGGTTCGTAAATTTGTCAAACCGCACTATGCGGTGCGGTTTGCGGTTTATAGTTATCAAACCGCGGTTCAAACCGCACCACATCGTATTAATAAAAATTATATATATATATATATATATATATATATATATATATATATATATATATATATATATATATATATATATATCAATGTTTCCAATTACCAAATACTTCATTTTGTCGAATAACTTACTCAATATGATGATGGTTGAATATGGTAATTATAGATTTAAAAAGACTATGATATCAAATTTCATAAGTCAGGAACAAGTTAGCAAAACATTTTGTGGTTTTTTTGTTCGCAATATCTATTTCTTTTAAAGGGTATGCAATATAACTAATAAATTTTGAAAGTGTTTAAATGGAATGATTAACAACAAACGTTATAAATACGAACAACTTATCAAACCGCATAAACCGCACACAAACCGCACAAACCGCCCGCACGAAACCGCACCGCATAATACGGTTTAGAGCTTTTGCGGTGCGGTTTCCAAAAAACTCAAACCGCATGTGCGGTGTGGTGCGGTTTGCGGTTTCAACTGTAAACCGCA